TAATATTCGACAGTTCTGATTTTCCAAATGTCTAAGACATTAAGATGGAAAAAGGACCACAACCGGATATGACTAAAATAATTAAACAACTGTCAAGGACGATCTGAGGTTCGCTAAGGATTGGTCGCTTGTGGGCAGTTGGAAGTATAGTAATGGATGGACCATATTGCATTATTATGAATAGATATGACTATATTAAGAATGAGTTGTCATATGGGAAATATGGAAATGTTTCCATAATGGGAGTTGGATATTGAGAATCTATGTAGATTAGAAACTTTTATGCAGAAAGGATGTTCAAAGGAATGTACTTTGAATGTGAGACTTCATATATATGGAGTTGTCTTATAACAATCTCCAATAGAGCAGTTTGTAATTTCATTGGTAAAGTCTTGGTGACTTTGGTGCTATGACATTAGAAAATGATTATTGCATAAAATGTTAGAATCTAACATATTCTAATAGTGGCAAGAATTTTGTATTCTTACACTTATAATAAGGATTAGGAGTTGTGAAATGAGCATCATTGGTAATGTGTTCAATTGATCTATTTCACAAAGTAAGGACCATAGGTAAACATAGTGTGCATGCTTGGAGCATAGACAACTAGTGTTTTTTAATTCAAGTAGTAAGTTGATTACTCGAAACATTATACAATGAATAATGTGTAATAAATATGGTGATTAAGTAATAAGTGTTTTATTTATACTCAAAAGTTTGAGACCACATTGGATTCGATTATTCTTGTGTTTCACTTTGCATGTTTTGACTTCCCGAATAACTAGGTTATTCAAATATCCACATTCGATCATACTTCGGAAGTAAGTATTGAGGCAAGACTATCATGAATTCGTCTGTAGATTGTCTAAAGTGTTTAGACATAACACAAGTTTGTTGCAGAGTTCATGAGTGCTCCTGAAATAAGATTTGAGTATTGGATTAAACTCACGCTCACTTGAATCACTTCATGGATTTTATCACGAGTGATTAGTGAGACGATAATATCTTATATTCTTGAAACCTAGAGATATGAGTTGTAGTTTACAAGTCGGTTGCACATTGATATGGTGATTAAGTAATAAGTGTTTTATTTATACTCAAAAGTTTGAGACCACATTGGATTCGATTATTCTTGTGTTTCACTTTGCATGTTTTGACTTCCCGAATAACTAGGTTATTCAAATATCCATAGTCGATCATACGTCGGAAGTAAGTATTGAGGCAAGACTGTCATGAATCCGTCTGTAGATTGTCTAAAGTGTTTAGACATAGCACAAGTTTGATGCAGAGTTCATGAGTGCTCCTGAAATAAGATTTGAGTATTGGATTAAACCCACGCTCACTTGAATCACTTCATGGATTTTATTACGAGTGATTAGTGAGACGATAATATCTTATATTCTTGAAACCTAGAGATATGAGTTGCAGTTTACAAGTCGGTTGCACATTGATAATACGTAAACACACCAGTAACTTGGTGTTATAAAACATATTGTTGTGTGTGATTTGATGAGTAAATAGAGCAAGCATATGAGTCGAAGTTTATCCGTTCCTTTTACCCAATATAGGATAAAAGCAATATCTGTGGGCCCCTCGATGATTTATTGATGACACCCCAAAGCGCTTGGCCAAGCCTGGACTGATTTGATTTGTTCAATTAGTCATTCGTCGTAAATCAGAAATCGGGAAACAACACATAGACAGAGAGAATGATTATAATCCATGTCTCATGTCTATATGATATCTTGAGAATGGGAGGAATATTTGATCCCTTATCTAAAGGACGTGTTACTGATAAGATCAGAGTTCGACAATGGCTTTTGAAAGCTACGATTGCTAATCAGGTTCTGAAGTCGTACTTGCAAAATAGTTATTAGACTTATCCAAGTAGGAGACTATTGGATTAGGTGTCTAAGCCCATAACTATTTTGGTATGTACTTGACCCGATTGTAAGCATGGTCCTTTTGGGGTGCCTTCACCATAGCAACTGATAGGATGAATTAGGGAGAAAGAGGATAATTATGGTTTATTAATATATTATAAGAATAATATATTAATTGAGAAATCATATTATTTAATTAGTACTGATCAGAAATTAATTTGGAATTAATTTGGTGATTAAAAGAGACTGATTAAATTGATGAAGACTGATTATGTAAATCAGTAATATTTATAGTTTGGGCTCATGGACCTTATTGGTATATGGTGGACGAAATCTCTATGAGAGTCCATAAGGATTTCGTCTAAGGCTTGTCCAATAAGGATTCCATATGTTACTTAGGGCCTAAGCAAGGAAATTAGGGTTTCCAAGTTGATAACCCTAGAAGCCTAACTATAAAAGGAACGCTAAAGGCTCCCAAAAAAGTCCCTAACCTTCTAAGAGAACCCTTGGGCATTTTTTGAAGCCTCTCATCTCTCCTTTGTTCTTCCTTGTTGCTAATGGTGTTTGTGACTCCATTAGAGGTGCAACATTTGAGACACTAGGATTTCAGAAGTCAAGATCAAGAAGGATTGTGATTGTTATCGCTACATAACAATCAAGGTAATGTTTCTAACCCTAATTATATGTCAATTTCGAATTATATGCTAGTTCATAGGGTCTATTGCTTTGGTATGCAATGTTGTATGTTCAATTTGGAAAAAACCTAGATCAAAGCAATTAAGGTTGCATGTACACCATATGAGTGATGTTATGTTCATAGTCCATCAGTTGTCAAAGGTGGATTCCTATTTTAGGTGCTAGATCCTTCTACAAGCAACCAATACTTCAATATTTTCAAGGGAATCAAACGTAAATATGATATTGCACTAAAGGTTAGTAATTATATGTCTCTTGGTAGTTTAAATTCATAATTTTGAAAAGTAGATTGCTATATTAGTAAAACCTAGATCTAGGTTGCATATACACATAGGGTTATTATTAAATACTTTCATTGCCTAAAATTCGTGTATAGATGCATAGAGAACCCATCAAAAACATCTAAGTCATCATTCGAATTAAAAATCGAAAAATAGATTTAAATTTGAAAAAAAGAATTCAGGATTGGTTTTAGTGAAAAAAAAAACTACATTGACTTTTTTGAAAAAATGCTAAACTATACTATGCTACATCTCTTTATTGTTGAATGTGGGATCCTTTATTTTTTAAGAAATGATGTAAATAATCCGAAATCACCATTTTGGAAATTCTTTCTCAAATTTTTTTCTAGATCTGTGACTGTTTGGACCATTATGGTTAATTTGTATTGGGAAAATGACTTATTAAGGTAATTAACTTTTCGGTATGTTCATATCTGGGTAACTATCTTTTTATTGTACACATCTAGGTAACAAACTTGTTGGAAGTGTTCACATATGACCATTATGACCTGCTGTAGCAGGTTACATCCTAGATGTGAACACTTTCAACAAGTTCGTTACCTGGATGTGTACAAAAAAATAGTTACCCAAATATGAACAAAACGAAAAGTAAGAGTAAATTACACGAATGGTCCCTGTGGTTTTGTGGAATTTGTGTTTTTGGTCCCTAACTTATTTTTTTTAACTCGGATGGTCCCTACTGTTTATTTTTGTTACACGTTTGGTCCCTATCTTACCTAAAAAGACTATTGTGCTCTTATTAATTTATTTTTTAATTAATTTTCTTATTTATGTATTTATTTTTTTTATATTTTGAAAAGTTAATAGACCCCACATATCTGTATCTCCTCACCGTAAACCTGAAACCACATTTGAGAAATTTTATTTGGGTCTCACCAGTCACCATCCTATCTCTCATCCTCGTCAACTTCTATTTCTTTTCCATCTTTAGTGACATCGACGTCTTCACCATCTTTCTTTTTTGTTCCTTCAACTCTGGCGAACCAACACCATAATCCACTGTCTCTTCATCTTTAGTGGGGTGTGGTGTTGATTCGACGGAGTTGAAGGACCGAAAAAAGAAGGGATGGTGAAGACATTCATATCACTAAAGATGAAAAATAAATAGAAGTTAAGGAGGATGAGAGATGAGATGGTGAGGAGATACATATATGCGGGGTCTATTAATTTTTTTTAATATATAAAGAATAAATACATAAATAAGAAAATTAATTAAAAAAATAAATTAATAAGGGCACAATAGTCTTTTTAGGTAAGACAGGGACCAAACGCGTAACAAAATAAACAGTAGGGATCATCCGAGTTAAAAAAATGAATTAATTAAAAAATAAACGGCAGGGATCATCCGAGGAGATACAGATACGTAGGGTTTATTAATTTTTTTAAATATATAAAAAACAAATACATAAATAAGAAAATTAGTTAAAAAATAAATTAATAATGGCACAATAGTCTTTTTAGGTAAGACATGGACCAAACATGTAACAAAAATAAACAGTATGGACCATCCAAGTTAAAAAAATAAGTTAGGGACCAAAAACATAAATTCCCCGAAACCACAAGGACCATTCGTGTAATTTACTCTTACTTTTCGTTTTGTTCATATTTGGGTAACTATTTTTTTTGTACACATCTAGGTAACGAACTTGTTGAAAGTGTTCACATCTAGGATTTAACCTGCTACAACAGGTCATAATGGTCATATGTGAACACTTCCAACAAGTTTGTTACCCAGATGTGTACAAAAAAAAGATAGTTACCCAAATGTAACCATACCAAAAAGTTAATTACCTTAATAAGTCATTTTTCCATCTGTATTAACCAATAACCAAAACCATTAACAAATTAGAGGTCTTAATCGAATCCAACCTTAACCGATAAACAATAACTATCGAATACATTAACCGGTTATAATGATAATAATCCGGTTTTGATCTATAACTGAACCAAATCGACCCATACACACCCTACCAAAGACATTACTTGGTAGGAATCGACTTTCAATTCCAATACAATCCTAAATTATGTAAACCCAATACCCTTTTGAAAAATTAGCCATTTTTGTTCTTTTATTTTCTCTATATAAAAATTGGATGGCTTTTATTTTCTCTATTTGTTTTGAGCGGAGGTGGATATTAGATTTGGCCAAAGTTTCAGGGGTGTTCTGTGACAAACTTTCTATTAACTTTAAGATGCCTTCTCTTGGTCAGTCGTCGTCTTCATCGACTTTTCCCGACTTCAATTCCACTGCTCCATCGCCGGCGTAGATCAACGATATACTTCTATACGATCATCTATATGGCTATAGAGACCAGCTTCATCTCGTTACTTTTTGTCGTTTTGATTTCTGTTTCCGGGGCTGCTAGTAACGACGGCGATTTCCGCGGTGCTGTTTTCGGCGTGAATTCCAAATTCTCTGGCAAGGAACGATCACTTAGTCTTTTCAAAGCTCACGACAACCTTCGTCATCTTCAGATTCTAGCATCTGGTGTCGACCTACCTCTCGGTGGAACCGGTCGTCCTGATGCCGTTGGGTACGCACATACTCTTAAACGCCGTCTCTCGATGTTTCCTTTTTTACTTTTATCTTAATCTATGCGATCGTGCCATATCGTTTTCTAGTTACATGACTGAGATTGGAGATTTTAGTTTTTTTCTTAAATCTCGATTTGAATTTCAATGAGAATTAGGGCTTGTGTAGGGATGAAATCAAGTTTCCATACCGATACCATGATGATAATTGGCATAAGAATCGATTTAGATAAATGGTGAGTACTGTTTGTACTCGAAAAAATGGCATGGTACTTCATCACCACATCGGCCTGATTTAATAGAATCAAAGTGTTTTATGTGTGATATTCTGTCTACTGGTTTGACAACTATCTGAAATCTAGACCTTATTTTTGCAGGCTTTACTATGCCAAAATTGGAATTGGAACACCACCAAAGGAATACTATGTGCAAGTAGATACAGGAAGTGATATAATGTGGATCAACTGTATACAATGCCGAGAGTGCCCCAAGAGAGGCTATCACGGGGTATTCTTTTCTTGATTTTCTTCTATTCATATTTTTACTGTATCTCCAAATGATGTAGTTCACTAGAATTAGTTATGTTGTATACTTTTTCTTGTTTCTATCAGTTGTTAAAATGTCTCATCCATCTTCTCTCCAAATGCACATTAGCATATTCAAGAAAAACTTGTTTATAAGTTCCCTAATAGTATGAACAGATAATGATCTTGATGGATGTGAATGCTAACAGTTTTTGACCTACCATGCTTCTAACAGCTGGAACTTACACTATACGATCCAGAAGATTCATTCACAGGGAAATTGGTTACATGCTCTCAAGATTTTTGTGCAGAGATCAATGGTGGTGCAGTTACTGGTTGCAAGGCCAATGCATCTTGTCTATATACAGAGACTTATGGTGATGGGAGCTACAGTATTGGTTACTTTGTAATGGATGTTGTTCAGTATGACAGTGTCTCAGGTGATTTGGAAACTAAGCTGGCAAATGGAAGTGTCATATTTGGGTATGTTTTCATTGCTATTCATAATACTTCCAGTTCATTATCAAATATTTCATTCCTCTTTTGCCCCTTTTGATTTCGTTAACAGACATCTTAGCTATTAAATTCTTAGAATTTTTTTTTGTTTTGAATCAGGTGTGGTGCTAGACAATCTGGGAATCTAGGTTCATCTGAGGATGCACTTGATGGGATTCTTGGTTTTGGAAAATCAAATTCATCAATCATTTCACAGTTGGCTTCATCTGGAAAAGTGAAAAAGATGTTTGCTCATTGTCTGGATGGTGACAATGGTGGTGGTATTTTTGCAATTGGTCATGTTGTTCAACCCAAAGTCAACTCAACACCTTTGATCCCAGATCAGTATGTTCCTTTTTCTTTCAGTTAACTACATTTTTGGTCCCTATGCTTAGTAATTTTCTTCGGTTTTGATCCAAAAAAAATAGATTCTTTTTTGGACCAAAACCAAAGAAAATTAAGTAATCACAGGGACCAAAAAATAAAGTTTACTCTTCTTCTTTTCTTCTTTTTAGTGCCTTAAGATTAAATTTTATAAAATCATAGGCCTCATTATGCTGCAAATCTGATGGGAATTGAAGTTGGAAACCAATTTCTAAATATTTCAACAAATACAAATGGTTCTGGGGACAAAAGAAGAACAATAATAGATAGTGGTACAACATTGGCTTATCTTCCTGATGCAATCTACAAGCCATTAGTCAACGAGGTCAAACTTTTTATACCAATATAACTATCATTTTAATTACAATAAAAAAATAAAATCCATCATTTATATATTTTTAATTTCTTTTCTTTTTCTTTAGATAGTCATAGCGCAGCCTGATTTGAAACTACATACCCCTTCATGACCAGTATACATGCTTTGAATTCTCCAGAAGGTAATATGTAATTATGTAATTATGTATTACCTTTTTTTTATTTTTATATAATTTTTTTTTAAAAAGTAGAATGAGTTGTGAACTTTTGATTTTTACTAAGTGCAGCGTTGATGATGGATTTCCTCCGGTTACATTCTATTTTGAAAATTCACTTTCCTTGAAGGTTTATCCACATGATTACTTATTCGCCTTTGTAAGTATTAAATTGTATTTTTTTATTTTTTTTTAAATTTTAATATATCTCAATTCTCATAATTGAATTTTATCCAAATGTTGCAGGAAGATTACTTGTGTTTTGGCTGGCAAAATAATGGCATGGATTCTCTTAGCTCATCAGACACACTTGTACTTGGAGGTAAGTAACCTCTATATTATTATATTTTAAAAAAAAAATGAAATATATAAAAACACAAATTTTGATTTAATCTTAGTTATTAAATTCCATTCCATCTTCTTGTAATGTTTGCAGATTTGGTACTATCAAATAAGCTTGTGTTATATGATCTTGAAAATCAAACAATTGGATGGACTGAGTATAATTGTGAGTTGTGATTTCCCTTTTAATTTTTGCAAAATATACCATTAAAAAAAAATAAATGGTTTACAATTATTGTTATTATTTTTTTAAATGATTTAATGATTTCAGGTTCTTCAAGCATTAAACTAAGGGATGAAATTACTGGATCAGTGCATTTAGTAGGTCCTCATTCTATATCATCTACTTCAAGTCTTATTCCTCATAGATATTTGATATCACTTTTAGTGATTGCTTTATTTTTACCATTATAAATCTTGATTCCTGAAATACCCCTAAAGGTAGTAGTCATATATATATATATACATACAATACTAAAGGATTATTAGGCAACCATAACACACGGATTAATTCCATCAACTTGTCTGGTAGCTTGTCAGTGAACGATAAACTAAAGGGTAATTTTGTAAATAAATTTTTACGATGTGTATCTGATTTCTGCAAAATCCGTAAAGGATTTTCCAGTCTTTTTGCTTGCAATTTCATCTTAAGATTGTATTTTGGACTCTCAGATTGTTTGTACAAGTGGAAGTAATCCAATATCATCATCACCTTATTTTGGGAAAATATTGACATGGTTAAAACTTAAAATGATGAGTGGAATTAAAAAAGTGCATTGCAAAAAATATGGCTGTGATTTAAAACATCATATTACATTGGAAAATCCAAAATAGTCTAAAACATTAAATAAATATAAATGATATCTCAATCATGCATCAAACATCGGTATATCATAAATTCCAAGTCAAAAGGGCAAATTTTTCCAACGTCGTTACCTGAGATGCACATTAAAATAATATATCATACTATAAAGTTTAGAGTTTATTGAGAAACATAAGTTTTTTAATACTCAACATTAATTATATATAAGCTTTATATGAAAAGGACATCAATGTGGAATCACATCAACATCTAACATCAATTATATACCTATTATTCTAACATTATCAATAATACATCTAACATCATATCATCATGATATGATAATACATTGTGTAAATATATACCTATTATTCCTACCCCAAGATATCTCACATAACACCAATCATTTATCCCAAATTCATTAGTGGCTACATGACGTTGGGGATTCCTAGCCATGTGGTACGTCAAAAGGGTAAGTGGCAAGTAATCAGAGAATGTAAGATCTATAACATCATCATCATCATCACATGCAATAACCCTAGCAAAACATCTAGCATAAAAAATATCATCGTCTTCAACTTATGCATAAAAACCTAGCATGACAATTAGTATATCATAACATCATCATCAAATCATCTAAACATCTTAACATTAATCCTAGTATGGCAACTAGGCATACATCAATATATAATATATAATTATATCCTCACATCAAGTAGTACATATAGTATAAACACAAGTCATGAAACAAAAACTTAGTGATACATTTAATTTTCCACTGGACGTGCGCTTAAAAATTCAACTACATACATACTCACCTTAGCAACAAATCGTAAAAATACTCATCTAATGTAAACCCTAGGGTATTACCGTAAAAGTACCTTTATCATCATGTAAGTAACAACTAATAAGGTACAAAACTACTAGTTTAATAAATTTTTATAACCTTTTTATGCTAATAAACCCTCGTAACCTCAAAAATAATTTTTTTTTTAAATGGAAACAACAACATAACCATAAAATACAAAAATCGGTTAATCGCCAGTCGAACCTTGACATTTTATTAAAATATCAAGTCAAATTTGGTCTTCAAGTCATCTATGTTCAACCATGGTTTGATCAACCACGAGTCTTGACATCATGTCAGGTTTGATTTCCGTTTAAGAGGTATCATATTGCTATAATCAAATAATTTTTTTAAACTATATTGTTTGAACAAAAGACAATTTACAAGATAATAATACACAATGATGTAATATGAAATTTAAAAGGTTACATTAAATTTCTTTCACTTGATCCAACTTTTATTGCAATAATTCGGGGTCCATATCATGTTATGGCAATGTGGGTCCTAATAACCAGGAATTTGGTGGCCAAAATGGGCCTTATGGGCCAACCCCCTAACATTATGTCTCCACGACTCCACTCTTGTTAATGCTCTATCTTATCGCAATCACACCTCTTCCGAATTGGAACATTATCTTTTGCAAGTTTCAATTTGAATTATGCCTTAAGAAAAGAATTATTTAACTATATAAAAATAAAGAAAGTTACCAATAGAAGTAGATAGGATCATACGAATAGTCAGTAGTGTAAGCTTGCATCGAAAGTCATGTATATTTAACAAAAATATATTTATAAAAACCAAAAAATCCCATGCCTAGACATGTATTTTTAACGTAACTATTATATAATTTAGATAACATTAAACAAACTATTTTATTTCATTCATAAGTAATAACTATATAACTTTCAGTCGAGTTTAAATTGTTTAACATAAATAAATTATATATATTAGTTGAAATGTATAATATCTTATGCGTCTGTTTTTTTTTCTCACTCCATTTATTCTTGTTTATTTGAAGCAACAATATCAATTATTTTATTTAAACCGAACAAAAATAATAACATCTATAAAATTATTATATTTGAATTTTGACATTAGAACAAAACCTCTTTGGTATTATATTTACATAAGTTACGTTCTTTTCCTTTTTAACAAATATTTAAAATTAGCAGCTTCAACTTTAGTTTGAATACACCATACAGTATTAAATTTAGGATATCCTCCTCAATGCACTTTGTGAGCTTTTAGCTTAACAAAAGTTAAATTAAAAAAGAAAAAGCTTTCGGGATTACAAGTTTAAGACTTTAATTTAAAAATTAATTCAAATAGCTTTTGGAACTTTTATGCTTAATTTTTTGTATGCATTTTTACAATTTTAAAGAATGTAAAGTTACTTTTGGAGAATACTTGACCAAATGGTAAAATAAAATTCAAATTTTTTTTTAAAAAAGGAGGGGGAGATAGAGCTGCACAAAAAGATCGGTTTCGGACTAGACCCGAAAAATGACCGGTCCTAAAAAAAGTCGGATTGAAAAAAGGCCGATAAGACCGTTTGCTACGGAGAAATGAAATTACTACGGAGAATGAAAACGTAGAGAAAAAAAATTATGATGGTGAAAGAGAATTGATTTCACTGTTAGTAGATTAGAGAATTACTTAATAAATGTTTAGGATAATAATTTTCCTTTTTTGGTTGTATTAAGCAATGAGATGTAAATGGTTTTTTAATATAAAAAAATTATGATAGTAAAAGAGAACTGATTTCACTGTTAGTCAGCCAACTACATTGAGTTGGTCAAACAAAATGTTTTTTTATATAAAAATTATTATGATGTACTTTGTCATAATTTGTCAAAATATAGATATTTTATGTTTATATTTTTCACTTTAACATTACTTGTTACCAAATAGTTTATGTAAATGTCAGTTAATTTTTTTTATATATATCTTGTATTGAAAAACATAGTTTTAGTATAAAAGGCGAAGTTACAAATAGATAGAAACATAAAGAAATATGAAAACCACACTATTTAAAAATAATGTATAATATGTCCAATAATGGATGCGTAAAAAATCAAATTTAATATTCGTAATAATTAAAAAAGATAAATTGAAATAACCTATCATACTATTGAGCTATCCGCAATCAGTTCCATGTAACAAAACTTTTCATTTTCGATCATCTTCAAAAATGACTGGACGAGAAACTGATATTTGCTAAACATGTCAATCTCCTTAATTCGCTGTTTGACATTAATATTCAATATACATTGTATAGAATAATTGTATTATTTAGCTAAACGGATAGCCTTGGTCAAGATGTTGTGTTTGACCAACTCATTGGTGTAGTCGGTTGACCGACCTACACTTATAGAATAATTGTATTCTTTAGCTAACCGGATAGCCTTGGTCAAGATGTTGCGTTTAAAATAGAGATTTGTTTTTTTTTCTTTTCTCCTATTTTTTTTCTTAAAAATAGAGATCGGTTTTGATGGAAAATGAAATGATTTATTTCTCAGTTCCTTATCATGTGCATTAACCAAACATGAGAAAAGAATCAATTCATTTTCTCAACTTTCAATTCTTTGTACCAAACACCCTCTAAATTCCTTTTTTTTTTATTATTAAACTTAAGTGTATCATTTTTAATAAATCTCAATCTATCATTTCAGTGTAATCACATATTTGTAAATGAAAAAACTCAAAACCGAAAAATATAGAAACAAACCAAAAAAACTCAAAAACCGAAACAAAAAAGGTGTACGGAAAGATCGCAAGACCGGATTGAAAAAGACCGAAACCAATCCAAAAAATAAAAGAACCGAAAAAACTGATCGGAAAAAAAGATCGGACCGAAAAAGACCAGTCCGAGACACACTACAAGCTTGCCAAGACCACCCACTTACCTTTGCTAGATGACTCGTCACGTTGAGCTCGCTACCTGGTTAGTGAGAGGAAAGAGGAAGAGGAGAAGAGAAGAGAAGAAAGTCTGTCATTGGTCCTTTTTCATTTGATTTTTTTTCCCTAAAATGATATTGTTATGTTGCAAGATGCTAAACATGCTATCACTCTCCACAGCCTTAAAAAAACAACTATTTAGCACAATTTTGAAATCTATTATTTAGTATATTTTTTTCTAAGTGAGATAAAAATAAAATAAAAAGCAAAAATAAAAGTCAAGTGAAGCGTCTTAAAAATATTTTATAATAAAAGTTTGAAATAAATAATCTTATCATGTTAGATAATACTATATATATATATATATATATATATATATATATATATATATATATATATATATATATATATATATATATATATATTATAACATGTAATAAAAAAACATTCGATTAACCACACAAATAAATATAAATATAAATAGTAATAAAGTAGAGTAGTAACACTGCAACGGCAGTAACGTGATAAATCATGATCGCCAGAGCCCAAAAGGCCGTGTTTGGATGATGAAGCAGGCTGCCCCCACTTGTGAAAATTGCAATTATTATAATAATTCATCCACGAGATTTGTAGAAAAAAGGAAAACCCCTCAAAGATTCGTCTTCGATTTTAGAGAGAGAGAAAGAAAGAAACCGCTAGATCATCAGATTGAATTATTCTTCATCGGTAAAGAATCAAGTCATTCCATCTGAATCTGCTGCGCGATTTCTCCAGGGTTTCTCATCTGGTGAATTACGCATGTATGGTTACGAATGCCTTCCTTCTCACTTATGTATTTGAAATTTCAACAATTTTAATTTAGGGTTCTATTTTCTGGCGATGCGGTGTGAGTTTTGATTTTTATTTTTAAGTACTTGAACGAATCCGGTAATTGTGCAAGGTCTGGGAATTAGCAAAACTTCAAATTCATAACGTTTTTTTTGTTATTGTGAATCTGTGATGTTATTTCCGTAGATTCATGTAGTTGTTAGTCACAGTAGAAACGTTTGATATCGAAGATAAATTAATCTACAATCGGTGAGAGTATACAGAGACCTATTTTTTGGTGGATCTTTCTCCACCATTTTAAGAATTCGATACATTTTTCTTGTTTGTTTTCTTTTTGTCTTACCTTATCTGTTCCAAGTGATGTTTATTCGTGAGGTGATACTGAATTTAGGGGGTGTTTGGGAGTGCTTTTGAAACAACTTATTGGCTTACCTTATCTGTCTTCCACTCCAATGATTTCCATCTCTACATTCAGCATTTTTTTGTGTTTCATAGATTTTAAAGGTGTAAATTTTCGGTGGTTCTTTTAGAAGAAGAAGCTAACTGCATCTTTCTTATTAAAAAAAAAAAAGAGAACTTGATGGAATTGAAAGCTCCAAGAAAATATACTAAAGAGTTATTGGTTGTTAATGCAGGGATTACAGGATGCCTGATAATGATGTTGAGGGAATCGATTACATGGCAGATGAGGTGGACATTTTGGATTTTGTGATGGATGATGATGAAGTCAATGGTGATGGAGCTCGATTTGCTGATGATAATGAAATGGTTAGTTTGCCTAAAATGTCACAATTTGGTTAACATTTTGTCTACAAACTTAGCTAAAAAGTGAAAAGAGTCTAAAGTTACACGCATTAAACAATTACTCATTTTGACCTTTTATTTACCCAATCAAGCATCAAATGCTTACTTCATAAATTAACTTTTGTAACTTATAAAGGTGACAGATACATCTTCAGCTCAAGCAAGAAGAGGCAAAGACATTCAAGGCATTCCATGGGAAAGATTGAATATAACAAGAGAAAGTTACAGACAAACAAGACTAGAACAATACAGAAACTATGAAAACATTCCATTATCAGGTGATGCTGTTGATAAGGTACAACTTTCAAAACCCTTTTTACCCTTTTCTTCTCCTTTCTTTCTTGTTTATCATGGAAACTTTGTTTGTATGTCTAGAAATGTAAACAGAAACAGAAAGGTGGCAACTACTATGAATTTTTCCATAATACCAGAATAGTCAAGCCTACGATTCTTCACTTTCAGGTATAAAATAAAACTATTTCTTTTGACATAATGGATATGGGAATTTAATTGATTATTTATATTATTTGCAGCTAAGGAATCTGGTGTGGGCTAACTCAAAACATGATGTGTATCTCATGTCTAACTACTCAATTATGCATTGGTCATCATTATCTTACAATTTAACTGAGATTCTTAATTTCTCTGGCCATGTAGCACCCACTGAGGTAATTTTTATTAATTGCTAAAAACAATAAAACATTGTGCTTTTAACTATTTTCATATTATAAAATCTACCTAGTATTGTGCTTTCAAAGTAGAATGCTATTTTTTGCATTTAATTATGAAATTTTATCTTCTGAATATGTAGAAACATGCTGGGAGTTTGCTGGAAGGTTTTACACAAACTCAAATCAGTACACTTTCAGTCAAAGATGATTTTCTAGTTGCTGGAGGATTTCAAGGAGAGCTTGCTTGTAAGGTACACATATTCAGTCTTTTATTTTTTTTAAAAGACTTAAATCTTTAAGGAAAAGAAGAAACTAAAAAAGAAGGAAAGATCAACCACCTTTTATACATTAACATTCTGTTCCTAATAAAGCCAACAATTTTAACTAGCAAGATTCCTAGTTTTATTATTATTATTGTTATTATTTTCTACATATAAATCTTTGTCACAAAGGGGCATATGCGTCTTCTTGCAACATAATTATTACCAAAATAGTCCCCAATAAGTGTAACAAATATCACATGATAAGGAAAGGTGTCAAATTTTCAAAGGGAGATTTTTCTTTTTATATTACAATTATTCATTTTTGTGATTAAATGGTACAGAGGTTGGATAAACAAGGAGTAAGTTTCTGCACAAGAACAACTTATGATGACAATGCCATAACAAATGCTGTTGAGATATATGACAGCATAAGGTACAATTATATTACCATTTTACCTTATATCAAATAACAACATAATAATCTACTCTTTTTACCAATATAAACAATACACTTGAGTTAATAAATATAAGAATGTTGATATTGATTTTGTAGTGGTGGAAAGCATTTTATGGCATCAAATAATGATGGTGGCGTGAGAGAATACGATATGGAGAGATTTCAACTTATGAATCACTTCCGTTTTCCTTGGCCAGTCAACGTGAGTTTCTTATAAAATAAATAATATTTTTATTTACTTCAATTTGAAATTTTTAATTTTTTTTTTTGGATGCAGCATTCTTCATTAAGCCCGGATCGCAAACTTATAGCTGTAGTTGGAGATCATCTTGATGCACTTGTTGTAGACTCAACAAATGGAAAAGTAAGATATAAATAATGTATAGTCAAATAGGAAAAAAGAAAATACATTGTTTAAAGTAGAATGGCTTGATAAGAAAAAAAAATTAATTAATTTTGTTTCTACTTTTTAGACAGTGGGATCGGTGGAGGGACACCTGGACTACTCATTTGCATCGGCGTGGCATCCAGATGGAAGAATATTTGCAACAGGAAACCAAGACAAGACATGCAGAGTGTGGGACCTACGAAACCTATCAAACCCGGTTTCGGTTCTCAAGGGGAACATGGGGGCAGTCCGGTCAGTCCGGTTCTCATCAAACGGGCAGTTTTTGGTGGTGGCTGAACCCGCTGATTTCGTTCATGTTTACAACACCAATTTAAACTATGAAAAACGACAAGAAATTGATTTTTTTGGGGAGATTTCCGGGGTTTCATTGAGCCCAGATGACGAATCCCTTTATATTGGAGTGTGGGACCGGACTTATGCCAGTTTGTTACAGTATAACAAACGCCATAACTATGGCTACCTTGATTCCTTTGTGTAGTAAGTAGTGTGTGTGTAGCGAGGGGGTACTACTCTAGATGATGCTTAATAATGTTTTTTTTTTTTTTTTTTTTTTTTTGAAATGAGTTTTGGTTTATTTTGTTGTTTTGGGACTTGGGTTGGTATGTAAAACTCTTTCAAGAAAATGTATAGAAGCTATTTTGAAAATATGTTTTAGTGGATTGTTTGTTGGAATCAACGAATGGTTTGTTACAAATATGTTTTAACAAATGTTGATAAATCTTAATCAATTTGGTTCTCGCAAATTATATAAAAGCCGCTGTGTTTAGGTCTATTTTGTGGTTTGACTACTATATATTAGTTTGTCGATTAAATTATCCAAGTTTATTATGTTTTTGTATGATCGACTACTTTCACCACTGCAATGACAATTGTAACCGGCTAAAGTGGTTAAAATAGAAAATCAAATTTTATTGTCGGTAAGTTTTAATAGTAAACTAACGCTAATTAACATTTCACTAAAACCATTAGATTTTGATAAGAAAAATTATTATGATATTTTTAAAATGTTATAGTAGGTCAAAGTTTCATCTTGGGTGACCTTTATCAATGAAGCTGAAATATTATTGTAAGAAATTTCTCTATACTTCCATTCGAATACAATTATTAATTATTTTTTTAATTTTTTATTTATAGATGATTGGTATGAGGAATCTGGTAATTCAAAAATTAATATTAGTTTTGTATGTTGAATATCAAATGATTACTTACATATAGTTCTTTATTTTAAATTTATTACATATAGATTATTAGTTCCATTTTATATTACCATTTTCCCAACAAATTTTGATTCAAAGAAGTTGTGTGCTATCTGGGAAAAATATGAGGTGGTGTCAGAAGTCTATGTGGCTCGTAAACTCTTCAAGATTGGTAAGGGCATCCATAATGTATTGAAATTCATAGAGTTCAATGGATTGTCACATTATTTTTCTACATTTTATATAACTTAATCATTTTTTTTCTACAATGCATTCAACTCTACAAAGTTCAATGGAAAGTTACAAAAGCTAATTTATAGTATGTATTTAAGATTAGAAAACGTTCCTTTTTCCTATTGAAGAGTTCAATGACCATTGAATGCCAATATGACATCTCATTATGATACAGTTTCATCTATTAAATGACAACTAGACTTGCCACCTCATTCAACTCTCCCATTGAACTCACCATTATAGATGCTCTAAGTGGTTTTCATTTGTTCATTTTATTAAATTTATTTGATGAAAGGGATTTAGAGTCTACATTACGTGACATTTGGATTAGTAATTATCATGTGTACGCTTCTTTGGCTCAGTTTGGGAGGGATGATGCAAGACCTGCAAATTCTTGTGTATAGTAGAATGTGTTTAGAAATAAGGGTCAGGTGAATAGTTCTCAAATTGGTTTTTATGCTAATGTAGTTAAGAGAGGTATTGTAGCAGATCTTAATCTGGTGAATCTAGTGAAGTCGTGTATGTTACATGGAGTTGGAATTTGCAATAATATTTCATTGCAATTTTCTGTGTTTGGTAAAGTTCGTAATGTTAGACTTATTCCAAAACTTCTTAAATTTCCCGTATATAATGAAGGTACTGTATATAATAAAGGTACCGTGTTACTGATATTGAATGGGTGCAGGATTTGTCTCCATCAGAATGGGTGCAGGATTTGTCTCCATCAGAAGGGATGGATGTTTGACGTTAATTATTTGGTAAATGCACTTAGTCACATGAAGATATTAGGGATATCTACTTTCATCTCTTTTTACTACAATATTGTACTTTTAGTTTTTTTTCTTATGAAGGCATTCTACTTTCATTTCTTTTTTAGGACATTATACTCTATTCAATCTATCCAATTTTAGTAGTAGCCATTTGCTTTGTATTTGGATAACATTTATATTGATAAAAAATATAATAGGGAAATAGCATTGTATTCTCTTTTGGCAACGAGTATTTTAAGAGGTTGGGATATTTTAAGTAGGTCGTCGAAACCTATTACCCATTCAAACATAAACAAGCGCCAATGACGCAGGCGCTTCCACTAGTTTACATTAAAGTTGTTGCTAAATCGTTAGATAGAAAAAAAGGTCATATTTTCTCTCAAAACGTGTGCCATTTTTAAGATAACCTTCTATTTATCCATGTTTTGAAAACCGGACCAGCCGGTTCGACCGGGAACCGGTCCCGGATCCGGTTCTTATAGTCCAAAAAACCGGTATTCATGTGAACCGGTCGAACCGGTAAAAACCGGAAATTTTAAAAAATATTTATTTTTTTCATTTTTTTTTATTTTTATATAATTAAAATTAATAATAATGTAATTATGACATCATCCGATTTTTCTGGTTTTTGAGATTGGTCCAACCGGTTGGACCAACTGAACCATCGAACCAGTAAAACGATAGTCGGTTCGGTCTCCGGTCCGGTTTTCAAAACCTTGCTATTTATGTAGTACTAATTTTGCCCCTCCCAATTATCCAATATTAGTGAAATATACCTTGTTTTTTTTTTCAATTTATATTTTATCTTCTATTCATTTTTTTTCTGTTTTCTAATAAATATATAGTACAATAGCGTATATTTAATATCAGAACTTCGTTACTAAAAACATAGGTGTATACCTTTAAAATGATATCAATATTAAATATTATAAATATTTATTATTATATTTAATAAATTAAGTTTGATCGATTATTCTGTTAAACTGGAAAAGGGTATAAACGAACACCGACTTTCTTACCGTTTCTATAAATACAGTCATTTGCATTTCTACTTCAACAACACCGAATCATATACACAAGGCTTTCACATACACAAGTTTTTTATCAACATGAGTTGGGAAGACTATTTCCAAATCAATAGTCAAAGAAATTATGAGGTATTTCTCTTTTTAAAATTTTCTGTATAAGTTTTTACATAGTATTTTAATTAAATGAATGATATTTACACAATCAACTGAGTGTGATGAATGAGAATGAAAACGAGAATGAAACTAGTTACTTTATTGGTCACATGATATATGTTTTTAAGTTCTCTACTATATATTTGTAAAAATATTAGTATTATCCAGTAAGTTTGCTAGCTTTTAAAACTTTTTATCATTTTCATGTGTATAATTCTCATCAAAAATTAGTAGATTATAATTCAACAAACGGGATGTTCTTTTGGTTATGTTATCAACATAAAAAATTCCAAAGGTAATTTTATTCTTTTACTTCAGTATGATCGCGGCGGTATATACAAAAGTATGCAAATCTCCACAAAAAACATTAGCACCAAAAAATTAACTGTCCATTTAGACCAGAAGGTAAATATTCGCAGGTGGATGATTTCAGTGTGATCATGGCTATATAAACCAAGAACCCGCAAGATGTAATATTTAATTATTTATGCATATGACCAACATCCTCAACATACATACGTTAACCAATTTCTGAAAATGTCTCTATCAATATATCACCAAGGAAATTGTTGTTTTGAGCGATAACTTTATGCCGTGGTTTATAGGAAGATTAATGGCCTACTATTCAATATCAGTTGATAAAAGAGTTGGAGGCATACAAGACAGAATATGAGCGTCCTCACTGCTTCAAAGTACAATGTAATATTAAATTTTATTGAAGACGATTACAAGCATGCTAGTGCACATAGACCTGTTATGCTCTACACTAACATGTTATTTTAAGAGTAATTAAAGTTGTAATATGAATATGTAAATTTATAGTTTTAGATAGACATATATTTGATTGATAAAGTTCATCATTATACAAATGAAATAATCCACAACTATTAAACACGCAATTATTTATATAAAAACGAAAACTCTTTTCCCAAAATACGAGATTCATATAAACTGCGAAACACAAAACATACACAATTTTGAATAAATGAATACAAAAGAAAACATTATAGAGAGAGCCACTAGGTCTTTACTCTTTACATATACACCTGACAGATAAAGTAAATTTTTAAAGAAATAAAAAAAAAAAAACAACGTTAAAAGCACAGCACGATTTATTTCCCACCGTAATTAAAAATGCTCTTCAACGTCCAATAGGGGTTAAAACTAAAAAATAAAATTAGTAAAAAACTTTTTTATAATTATTATATGTTCATTTAAGGAAGAACTTCCAAACTTCCCTGTCTGTAAGATCCTTAATTATATGCGTCCCAAACACGCCCTCTTCGTCCACCAAGCTCCTCAGTTGTCTCGCAGCACTGTTGGACCCCACAAAATGTTTTTTTGTCGCCACGAATAACACTCCATAAGGAGGCTTCAAGCACTGATGACAGATTTTTATTTTTAATTAAAAAAAAAAATTTATCACAAAAGGGATACGTTACAATTACATACCTAGTAATACGTACCTTTTTAATTAGAGCATAGAGTTTCTTCAAAGAAGTAGCGGAATACGGAATATCAGTCATTAAAATAACATCATATCCACCTTCTCTATGATCCGTTTCACTAGCCCTTTCCCAAACCCGGCTTCCGGAAAGCTTCCGTGATCTTCTAGAAGAAGTTTCATGTCCAAGTCCAATGATGCTTCCATCTTGACTACTACAGGCGTCCATGAAATCCTCCTCTGAGAAACTTAAGTTTGTGGGTTTTGGCAGTTCCAGTCCCTCGGGTTCTACAATTGACAAAACAGTCCCGAGTTCTTCCCATTCCCCTGCGTAGAAGTGAACCATGGGGGAAATGGTTTGTCTGGATGGAGTAAGTGAACTTTCTGGCTGTCTACTTTGTCTGTCACGAGCTTGTTGGAGATTTGCAAGGACGTTTGGGATTGTTGTGCATCTTATTGTTTCTGCATTTAAATCTTGAAAGTGTACTACTGAAGCTCCCTGAAATATTTAAAAAAATTAAAATTATTATTAGGGGGAAATGGGAATGGAATCTATGAGAGGAATGATTAATGTACCTTTAAACAAGCAAAGATCCCTGGAAGCCCATAGCCACAACCAAGCTCAAGCACTCTTTTCCCTCTAAAACTTAGTTGTGCATCACGAATCTCATGCTTAAGAACTTTCACAAGATCAAATGAGCTATCCCATGATTTGAAAGATCCTTAATTAAAATCAAAATAAGTTTAATGATGTCATAAACACATATACTAGGCTCATTCACTTCCGTAATTCAAACAGGAAGATTGAACTTACCATCAGCTTTTGATTGAATCAATTCTGAACCTATCATATCTGAGACACTAACTTTTCCCTGAAATAAAAACAAGAAGACCAATTAAATCAAGTAGTTTGGAATGTTAGGGAGTATGACATAGGGAACACTACACCACAACACAACGCACCTTGAAGATATTTACACCTTGCAAATCTATGCTCTCAGCAGCATATTTATAAGGGTGTTCCATCTGTATTGATAAGAAGAATGTCATGCAATTAAAATCAAGGAACTTATGTCCATTTTGCTAAGTTGTCTCTTATAGATGAGAGGAAATACCTTAGATGGAAGGATTTCAACAGCTGGTGAAGGTAAATGCATGTCTCTATCTGATGTAGTAGAAAGGCTTTGACTTACACGATCAGGGACTAAGCCAGGTAAGCATTGTGCAAACAAAGATGGTGCACGCATTGTTTCCAGATACTAGAAGATGTGAAATAACTGTAATCACAAGAGAGTTTATTATCACAATATTTCAAACAGTGAGGAACTTGATATTTATATATATACACAGAGAAGAATACATTAGGGTCTCCTGTTTGTACATGAATAACAAAAAGAATATGACATAAAGATTAGTTTCAAAGATCATCCTTACTTCCTCAGACATAAAAACAATTCAACATGATTAAAAGATTCATTCTGAAGTTTCCCCTTTCTACAATGTATTTGATCTCCTTATATTTAGTAAAAGCAACAAAGCATAATCCAGGACATAAACAAAAAAAAAAAAAAAAAAAAAACTTGTAAATCTTCATTGAAATGTGACAAGCTTTCTTGTCTGAAATGTGACTTATATGCAAACCAACATGTCAGCATTTGGTTATGCAGTGTTGTGTACTCCATATAACTATATCTATCTTCACATGGTAGGCACAGATAACCAAACATGTACTTGTAAAATTGACCTCAACAATTATGACAATCGTGCATCCATGCTAACTGGAGAACATCTTATGCAACGCCTTTAGACCAATAAGAAGTGAATAATATATAAAACAGTAATGTCTTGAACTAGTCAATAAACAACAACTACCACCAAAACCCCGATCTAACAACAAACTGTAGATCAATTTCCACATCACAAAAAGAGGTCGAGTTCAAACCAAATATGAAAACAAATTGGATTAGAATTTAGATCAAACCACCAAGTAAACTCCACAAGTAATCACTTCTCTTGATTTGATTCTCTAATCAGTAAATTTCAATCACAGATTACTAAAAATGATAATCAGACGACAATTCTCCCTCAACCAAATATGAAAACCTCAAAATACAGTTAAAAACAAAAGGGGTTGCATAAATTGACGTACCAAACAACAATCGGCGAACTGAATTACGATGCAGCGATGCAAAACTATGTCGAATTGAAGGAACCGCGTAGAGATAATGATCAAAATCAAAGAATTGGAAAAAAGTATAAATAATAGTTAGAAAATGTAGGGTTTTGAAATTAGGGGATATTTTCAAAGTCAAAAGAAAATACCAAAACAAAGAAATTTACGAGAGAAGCTTCGGACTACTGAGCGTTTGGGTATGATGTGTAGTAAAGTAAATGACGGTTGTGTCCTTGGAGTCAACGTGACCGTGTTTAGGTTTGTTGGTAGATAGATGAAAAATGAAGGGTAAATATGCACACGAGAATTTGGTACGAAATGGTGAGCCAACGTGTAGAACGGGGAATCAGTGGCTTTTATCTACGTTTCCCACTAAATTATTGTGCCTTTCCCTCTAGAATACTACTATAAGGTATCCATGAGCCCAAAAATAGAAATAATGTAGAAGATATTTTTATATCAATATTTATCTTCAAGAAATATATTTCAAATTTAATATTTTTAAAGAATTTTAACAGAAATTATGGATTTATAGTTGGCACCTCAAAAATGGAATTATAATGTCTTTATGTGATAAATGTATTATTTTTATGTATTTTGAAACATATTTATTATATTGTAACATATAAGAGAAAAAAATCAATTAACTATTTTGGTCAAATATTGTAAAATATTATCAATAATTAAACTTGCAAATTGATGAATAGTCAAAGGATTGAAGTTTGTAGCATGAGGTTGATCTTTTGATAAGATTTTAGTTAAAATATTATTTAAATTTATGAATTATTTATTGAAATTAGAAACTATAATAAATTGAAGGCTCATACATCAAGATGGCCGTTATTTCAACAAGTATAAGAAAAGTGACAATGTGGTTTGCAAATATGCGATATTTGTTCAGATAGAAAATGAGTTATTAAAGACTTAATGGAGTACTTTTATTTTATAGAAGTTGTTAAGTATTTTTAATGAAATCTTTATTTCTATTTTTATAAAATTAATGATTTTTTTGTTAGAGTCAGTAGAAATGACCAACTCCATTTTGTAGATATTTTATTTCCTCTTTTATTACTTTGTTTTGTTCTATAATTTTGTTTTAGTATATAGATACAACATCCACAAAGAAAGGGAAGATAATTGGAAAACTAGGGACAACTATCATGAGTAAACAAAGAAAGAACGGTCCACATACAACAACCATCTTTTATTGGATGGCCCTATAACAAAATTTATGTATGAAGTTTTTCAAAAAAAAGTATTGGATGGCCTTAATAAAATTTATGTGAAAATCTTTTCTACTACGAAGATAAAAGATGTTTGATGCACAAAGACTAGTTTAGACAAAATTGCAAAAATGGTCCCTGTGTTCGTTAAAATTATGTGGTTTTGGTCTAAAAATGTTTGATGGTGCATCGGTGGTCCAATTTCAGATATCTTGTGTGTTTTTGGTCCCTATGGTTGGTATTTTTGTGTGGTTTTGGTTCATACCCCACATAAAATGATAAATATACCCTTAACATAGTTTGTTTAATATTCTTTAAATATTTTCTTATTCTTTTCATATAAAAAACCAAAAGAATACACACCCCCACGTCTCTCTCTCTCTCTCTCTCTCTCTATATATATATATATATATATATATATATATATATATATATATATATATATATTTCTCTTTCTCTCTCTTCCCTTCTTCTGGACGACATCCTCCTAGTTAAGTCTTCATCGAAGTATCGTTTTATTGATGGATGACTTTGTTAGAGTAACCTTCAAATGGATATGTGAAGTAAACACACACACACGTATATTGGGGGACAAAGATAGTAGGGGCGTCAGAGGAAGAAGGTGTGTCGGAGGAAGAATGGGATGGATTTGATCAACGGTAAGCAGTTTGTGGAGTAATGGACTTCGATCTAAGATTTGAAACCCCTTACTTAGATTAAACTGCAAATGGGAGAAGGCCACCGAAACCCTAGAAGTATCTGATAGGTTTTATAAGTTATAGTTAAAACATGTGGCGGAAAAACTTAACCCTTAAGTTCACATACAATCTATTTGGATCTAAGTTTTCTCTGTTGAAAGCAATAAACAATTGAACATCAAGAACTCTAAGGAGGCCCTACAATAATCAAAATTACAAGGGATTTACGGTTTACATACCCGTGACATCCCCAACATCACGGCCAGAAAAGACCGATTTAATTTATGCTTTTAAAATAATTTTCAGAGTAATCCTTTGATTTAAAAGAGTTGCGGAATTTGTTCCCAAAACAAATATGATAAAATAAAATTTATCAAAGCATTCCTTAAAGAAATGTATTTTTATATATAACAAAACTCGGGATGTCATGTTCCGATACAGACCAAAAGCATAACGGCATATTATAAGCCTTACAACAGTTATACACAACTACTGGCCTATAAACAAAATATCTTCACAAGTTGTCCAACTTATACTCTCGCGCCACTACCTGTAATACAAATAAAACTGAGTGGGTCAGGCTTGGGAGCCTGTTGAGCATATAGGGTTTTCAACCCACAATAAATAATTATATTTAATTTCACCAACCAACAATAACCCGATTACTCATTCCCGTTATCCTCACTTTACGTCCCTAAAACAACATCTATTACCAGGGACCTAATCTAGGATTTTCATCGGGATGGACATTACTGCAAAGGGGTTTCCTCAGCAATGAATGTGATGGGTTTTGGGTAAAACAAATAAACTAGAAAACAATTCCTAAGTTCACATGCAACCTACTTTGGATCTATGTTTTAACTATTGAACATATAACTTTGAATTGCAAAACAAAAACCCTAAGGAGAGAGGATATTTTCGAAAATAACTAATTAGGGTTTAAGAGTTACATACCTTTCAATTGTTATAGCAAACAATTGACAATCCTCTTGATCTTGATCTTCTTGGAAGCTTAGCACCACAAATGTAATGCCTCTAATGGAATCACACCCAAGAGCTAGCAAGAAGGAAACTTATAAGGAGAGAGAGGCTAGGGTATGCAAAAATCGGCCTAGGGTTTCTTCCAAGGTAGGAGTGGCCGATTTTAGGAGCTGGGAGGCTCCTTATATAGTTGAGGGATCTAGGGTTTAGGGAAAACCCTAATACTCCTTTGCTTGGGGCCTAAGCTAATCCAAAGGCCTTATCCAAAGCCCCTTGGACGAAATCCTTAGGGTTTCCCCTATAGATTTCGTCCACCTCCTTCCAAGGAGGTTTTGGAGCCTTCCACTCAACTATCTGATAATTGCAAACTAGTCCCTGCACTTTATAATTAATACTTTTAACCCCAAAATTAATTCTGATTAATTTCTGGCTAACTATTAATTAAACATAATGATTTCTAATTAATATATTAATCTTTTAACATATTAATAAATCATTTATATTAATTTATTAATCTTATAAATTAATATCTCTCCTTTCATAAATTCCTTGTCCAGTTGCTAGGTTGAGGGCAACCCAAAAGGACTGTGCTGCTATCAATTCAAGTACATACTAATTATAGTTATGGGCTTAGACACCTAATCCAACAGAATGTCCTAAGGCAACCATGAGGGGGATAAAGTACACCGGTGAACACATTGTTCACAACACCTACAGGTTATGAACCTGCCAGCGTTCCACTGGACAGTCTAGAAAGAGTCCGTGGTTGTCATCCATACTCCGCTAGATGACTAGATCAACAACAACATCGAGGCCTCTCATCATTTTATTTCATCACACAACAACTGTCTACCCATGTTCTACCCAACATATTAGTAGATAAAATATATACATTTATATACAGCTTAAAACCTGTACAAATCATTCATTCAACAATTATTTCAAATAAGCAAATAATATACAAACACATAACACATATTTTGTAGAGAATACTTCGTATCTATGTGTTAGAAGAAAAGGAATATACACTCACTTGATCTGAAGATGATCGAACATCACTACGGCTCTAAGAGTAGTATTCTTCGGTGAAACCGTGATCTCTTCACACACCGGGCTTCTCGCGTGCAGAGCTTCGGCTCGGAAACCCTTTTCTTCTCGAGATTTTCGGAGTGTCGGGACTCGCTTCGGGTCTCGGGATGATACCGGGGCTTCGGGGGTATAACTTGCACGTAAATCGAGGTAATATGGAGTGAGAGAGTGAGAAAGGAACAACCAAACCCGACTGCCCCTTTGATTTCTATTTATGGGGCAAAAATGCTATGTTCACGTCGTGAGCCTCTTATACTCACGTCGTGAGCTCGATCATCATCCAGTGCGTCATTGCAACTTGCCTGCTCACGTCGTGAGGACCCTGTTCACGTCGTGAGTTCTGACAGACCTCGAAGTTTGTGTTCCGAACTTCGGAAACTCATATCATTCGCATACGAGCTCCGTTTTCGACGTTCTTTATATCCACGCGTAGGTGAGATTATGCTCTACAACTCTCGTTTAGACTCCGTCGGCTAATTTTGAATTTAACTTTTATTATATTATTTTAATACGCCGGGAAAGGAAAACTCCGTTAGAAAATCATATCTTCTTCGTCTGACGTCCGTTTCGTCTATCTTTTCGCCGTTGGACTACTATCTGTAACATCCTGTTTATTTAATAAATAAATAGATGAAATTTATTAAAAGAGTAACAGCCCTAAAATACGTAATATTCAGTGAGATGTTGGTTTTGGGAGCCAAATGTTATAAATGGGATTATTCGGGGGTTAAACTGTAATTTCGGGACTATTTTGTAAAGATTTTTAGAAGACAAGGGGTGGTTGGTAAGTATCGGACCTATTATGAAAAGATTTTGAGAACTGATGGCTGTTTAGTAAATAACGGATTTAATTTGAAAAGGGTTTTAGAAGTGGGGGTATGTTTGGTAATTTTTAAGGCTTATTTTGTAAGGAATTTATGGAATCAGGGGCTAAAAGGTAACATTTGGGTTTAAATTGGAAAAGATCTAGAGGGGAGTGGCCGATATTGTAAAATGGGCAGAAGCTGGTTGAAACACGAGTGAACCCGTCACCCTCTCATGCAGCCTCCATATATAAGGGTAACACTAACCCTAACCCTAGCACAACAGCTGCCACCTCCCCTTCCATTATTTCCGACGCCGTCGCCACCATTCTCCATCCATTCCGATCAGCTAGTGGCTGCCACGTGAAGCCTTCCTCCGCCACCCGCTATACCGTCACTGAAGCATCATCACCAGCCGAGAACCACCGGGACACCGGAGCTATCGCTGTTCCATCGTCGGTGGTAACAAAGACCACCAGCGGGTGTCGTCCCACTGTCGCTATTGCTGTCATTTTTGGTTTTCCTCCGGTTGTGGATAACAAACAACCATCGCGACCGTCCCATCTGCCGACAAAGACGAGAGCGCCCGCTGCTGCCGCCGTCTCGCGCAACCGCCGATGGGAGCTGAGATGGCAAGCGGTCGGAAGAAGAAAGCCGTTGGATGTCGATTCGTGTTTCACGGGTATTACTGCTCGTGTTTGTGTGACTGCAAGTACTGTTGCCGCTGCCGTGTTCGTCGATGACAAGGCTGCCACCGTCGCCGATGCTGGTTCGTTTCGCCGGTCTTTTCATCACGTCGTCGTCATAGTTTGCTCCTTCAAGACAAAAGTCCAAGTGTGGGTGTGTTTCTGTTGGTAGTGGATGTTGGGTGTGGTGTCATTTGGCCGGGATTCACGGAAAAGCCACCGCCACCACCGGCCACCACAAGGGTGGTTGCGAGTGTGTGTTTGTGTAGTTAGTGTGTGTGTGTTTATTCTTGGTTAAGGCATTGTAAATTGTAATTAGCTAAAATATAATAAAAGAAATTGAAAACCACCACCTTAGGGTGGTGGCTGCCGCCGTGTGCCGCCATTGACTGTGGTAGTGGGCGGTGCCCCACTAGCAAAACCCTAATGGGCTTAAGGACTTGGTTTTGGGCCTATTGGGCTATGAATGGGTTGGAAACCCTAATTAGGATTTAGAAAACCCTAATATTGGATATTTGGATTTGGGATTTATCGGGACCGCATCTGGATTATTTATTGAACTTAAATTATTAATTAGCAATAATCGGTAAATGAACTTAAGGCAATAATGGACTTAATGGGTTAAGTAGGAACACTTAACCCTAATCGATATTTTATGTGAGAAACCCTAAATCGGATTTGGGTTCTTATTGGGCCAATTGGGAACATGTTATGGACTAAA